TTTGTGGCGGCGTCAGGACGGAGGCCATCGACGGCCTTGAGCAGCCTCGTCTTGCCAGCTTCTGTAGTTTCAGTCAAGTTCGCGACCACCTATTGCATGTTAGAAAGACGCTCTGTCAATCAATAGTATACTGACCCTTGAGCTGCTGCTGAAGCTAACGAGAGCAAGACGATCCTCTGTTACCGTACAGGTGAGAAGATGATCATAACAGAAGGTACTATATCCTACCTTCTCCCATACTAGAGATAATGGTCTTCATGGCATGCTTTGTGACATCCATGACGCTCAATCCTGTCACCTCAAGTGGCTTGTCTTGCTCACTTGGGACGGCAGCGTCGTCGTCCATGCTACCAGACACATCAATTACGCAGCACAGATCGACGGGTGCGCGTTTTGGAGGTGTGCCGTCTGCTCCTGGCTCTGCAGGAGGGTAAATGGTAGCGAGAAGACTCGAGTTGCCCGCATCTGCGGAGAGAGTGAGGCGCAGGTTGGATGCTGGTCCTGATACCTGCTGTGTGTTGTTGAGTTGGGTCATGTTATACGATTTGGTTTGGGGTTGGAAGTTGAAGAGGCGCTGACTAGACCCTCGACCTTTTATAGTTTTAGGCTGAGGTCATGATAGCGCCAACTGAACCAACTGGGTTGCGCTCAGCGTCTAAAGCTAGACATTCTCTCGATCGCGCCGAGTCAAGCGTCTTCTAAGAATATTCGGATTTCTTTCGACATCGGCCTCGGTCACAGTCACCGTCTGCGCCGTAGACACAAGGAGCTTTGGCGATTTTACGCCTGTCGAAATCGAAATTAATTTCCAACTGCTGAGGTGCCACCTGCACCTCCTTGACCGTCTCCTGGATTTGGGCCGGATTTGGAATACCTCCTTTTGTAACAACACGTTGATATCACATCTCCTCTCTTCTGTCCTGTGGGTTAACAGAGCGCTTGGACTGGTTGTTGGCACATTCAGCGGCCATAGAACCTCGTATCAGCCGCCATCTTTCCACGCAGTATACAGCACTGTTTGCGTAGTATTAGGGACCACTGTCAGAATAGCATGGACTTTCAAATACCAACAATACAACTTACTCAGCCTCGCCCTGAGATCGTTGCAGCTTTGCGAAATGCCTCTCTATCAAGTGGCTTCTTCCAATTGACCAACATTGAATCCCACATATCAAGTGACCTTATCTGTAGAACCTTCGAGCAGATGAGATTATTCTTTGATTTACCCGATGAGGCAAAGCAGAAGGTAAGGAGCAAGTCAGGTCACTCCTACCCAGTGTAACGATTCAAGTCACACGCACTACATCTAGGTAATCAAGAAGAATCA